TGAGTGTGGTGGAGAACTAGGGGCAGTAATATTCCATTAAAGGAAGGAAGAAGCCTGACCAGGAAATGGGGTATAAGGTGCCTTCATGGACAGCCAGAATTCCCCTCAAGAAGTATTGCTTTCTATTAGGTAACTGACATGGAATCAATAGAGAATCCCTTCCTTATTCCATTCCATCAAGTTTCGTATCATGCAGAGTGTTATGTCCAGTTCCGCTTGGAACTAGCAACTGTGTTTAAAATTTAGATTCCCCAGGTGACCCCTGTCAGCAGATCTGGCCTCAAATGTGGCCTCAAAGTTCACTGGGGCTGGGTATGATGGCACACATCTGTAATCCTAGCAACTCAGGAGGCTGAGGCAGGAGGATTGCAAGTTCAAGGCCAGCCTCAGCAATTTAGCAAGGTCCTAAGAAACTTAGCAAGACTCTGTCTCAGAATATAAAATAAAAAGGGCTTGGGATGTGGCTCAGTGGTTAAGTATCCCTGGGTTCAATCCCTGGTATTTAAAAAAAAAGAAGAAGAAGTTGGCTGGGGACTTTTTTTTTTTTTTCCCAGAGACTCTATTGACTGGCTCCTCAGTGATAATGTTTTATCTCTATGCTGACAGCTTGGGCTTGATCTTGTTTTTAACCTCCACGGATCATTAGTGTGAAGGTTTGTGGGCAAAAGCAGTTTCCAACGCCCCTAGGCCCTGTACAATAGAGCTACCCCACAGGTCCCAGGGGCTGTTCACTTCATGTCACACAGCCCCACTTGAGCCCAGTTATACTTAGCAGAGACACCTGGGGACTCACACTCTGGAAAGAGGATGCAAGTTCCTGTGCAGGGCTTGGCCAGTGCTGCATAGGTTGATAATTACTATGAATCATGAAGTCTAGTGATCAATTTTAGAAATAAATTATAATAATAATTCAAAGGCAAATTGGAGTTTGCTGTTTACAAAATGCTTGCACGTGCATGATTTCCTTTGATCTCACAGCAGTCCTGTGAGACAGGCAAAGCCAGGGCTATTCCCATTTTATAGATGGTGAATCTGAGATTAAAGAAGGCAGGTGACTTGTACAAGGTCAAGTAGATGAACTCTTGATCCCAGGCCTTCTGACTGTGTTCATCATACTATGTTCCATTTCACCTTGCTTGCAGATCTCTTAAGTCACTAGATTTGAAAGTTGAGGATCATTTCTTAGGATGATAAGACATATTTTAGGGCTTAATGACATTTACAAAGAAATTGTCAATTGTGATTTACTATTTTAATACCAAGCACGGATTTAAATAAAAATAAGAATTCCCATATCTAAATTATTAGAGTAGACACAGTGCCTATTTGTTAAAACTTGAGTCCCATGCATCAAGAAGGCACCCAAACAAAGTTCATTGTTCCAACCCAAGCCTTCAGAAAAATGACCAATGGTGAGCTAGAATTGGAGCAAGCTTACATCTTCTTGGGTGAGCTAGGTATGGGCATCTTTTCCTCACTCCACGGATATTAATGTCACATTGATAGCTTGAAATCAGTCCTCTGGGGTACAGGTATCTATAGAACAGAAATGAGCCAATCTCATAATTCAAATCTCTTTCACCACCATCCAACCAGTTGTTAAACATTTACCAGCACACCTGCTGTTAGCAAATGCTGGCTGGCACAAACTGGAGCTCAAAAGTTCTCCTCTGACATCTGCATGGCACCATTTTCAGTGTTGATTTTGCCTTTAACCACAAGTTATACCCCAGTGCCATTTCTTAAATGGGAGACTCCATCTGAGCTTGCAAAATCAGACTGATGGGTTTCCACTAATAGTTCCTTTCATTTGTATAGTTTGCAAAGTGTTTTGACATCCCTCATCATTTCTGAACTCTATGGTATCTATGGGCAGATGCTGTCTCTGCTTGGCAGAAAGGAAGGGCCTAGAGACCAGACAGGTGATAGACCCATGCCCTGGGGCATAGGCCTAGCAAGTGGCAGACCAGGCTTGAACTAGGTCTTGAGCCTTCTTAGGCTGTAATCCTTCCTCTTATACTCGTTACCTCCTTCACCCAGGACACTTGCAACACCTATAGACAGAGCTACTGTCTAGCATGCAGAGAGGACTAACAGCAATCCAAGGTGGCACTGTTTTGCCCTTGACAGAAAGGATAGATGCACTAGCTTAAGAATATCTTCATTTTGCTGCCTTCCCTACTTTACTGATCTGAAGCATTCCTCCTTTGTCCTTGGTCCTCTCTTTGCTTCCATTAAAACCTTTTATGGGGACCTTGTGTATTTGGGACCTGTTCTCAGCAAGAACTTGGGGCCTCCTGAATGACCCAGCATGAATGCTCTGCTTCCCCTCTTGCGCAACGCCCCCGCCTTGCTGCTGCCCGGTGATGTATTGATTGGTAAGCATTTCACAACACATTTTCAAAACATGCCGAAGGTCAAGAATGAATGACTCATGGGCAGTCACATTTCTTTCTGCCTCAGTCCCTCTATATTTTATTGGTTAGGTTGGCTAATGGAAGTTACTGAAAAAACTTAGGCAAAAGTTAACTGCTCAACCCTCTCTGGCAAGACTATTAAGTGACTTGAAAAAGTAACTCCTGATCACCTATGTAGTGATCAGCCCCCTGAATCACTTAGGATTTTAACATCAAGTCTCTTGAAGAATATAAGGTGGGAGTTAAGGGATTTCAATACTTGGCCATGGCCTTATCCCAGAGTATCAGAGAGGCTCTCAGCGGAAGAGAAAGTGGAGGTGAAAGGGTGGATTGTTGCTGCTCTGATAGTCTATGATTCTGTATTAGCCCTTGAGAGCTCAAGGATGTAACCCCTGATCCAGGCTTGTAGCTAATGACTCAGCTCTCTGCCTGAGGCCAAGAAGGCCTTCCTGCAGAACAGCGGAAAAAATGCTTTGAGCTCAATAGTGGACAGAGTTCTGGACCAGGGAGAGGGATCCTGGTTAATTGCCAGCTTTGCCACCTACAATACAACTTTTCTGACAAGTGGCTTGACCTGTTAGCACCTCAGTTTCTTCACCTTAGTTTCATCACGTTGGTGATGGTGCTTTCATTCACAGGGTTGTTTCAAAGTTTAAATAATAGGATTCCATGAGCTGCTTTGGTCTTAAACCCTAATGCATGGAGAATCGTACAGTGTGGCACTACATGGCTTAGTAGAAAGTTGGTGGGGAGAAGAGTGAGGTGATCATGTTTTTATTCTTCATACACAAGCTTTTTTCCCTGACCTTTTCCCTCAAAAATAATCTAATTTGCAGATTTATAATTTCTGAACTCCTTATCTAGAACAATCAAGAAGTTTCTTAGTGGTTTCTGCTTTGGTTTTTGTACTTTAACTATCTTGAAGGTCTATTTCATCCTAACATAAAATAATCACAGAATTTGGAAGTGTGCTGAAGTTAAGGTAATGGGTGTTGTCTCTATTCTTTCTGCTGCCCAGCCTTTCTCAGTCTGCCCCTCTCCATGTGCATCCTGCACCCCAAGCCTCCACACACTGCTGCAGGCTCTGCTGCACCCCTCACTCCCCACTGGAGGTTGAGCCAGTAAGAAAGGAAGCAAATTCAGTTATGTAAAGCACATCCCGGGTGAGGAAAGGCTTGCATGTGTTTCTGCTTCACTGAAATTGCTTCCCCCACCATTACCCTTCTGTCCTTTCATCAGGACACTGTAGAACTCAGAGAGACCTTGGTCAGCACAGCTCTCACCTGTTCATTTCACAAATGAGCAGCCTAAAGCTCCAGCTAGGGCCACATAGCCCACTTGTGGCAGAGTCAGGATGCAGACTTCACTCTCCTGACTTCTCTCCATTACACCAGCAGTTGAGCGAATGAACACAGGGATTCAGAAGAAGGGTTAAAAATGATCTCTGTGGAGGATGTTGGGCTTCTGGTTTTCAAGGACAGTTTTATGATATGTGTCAATGGTGCCTTAAAAGCTGTGATAGCTAGCTTGAATGAACTTATATAATAAACATTTATCACAGAACATGTGTCATCAAACACCTGCCAGATCTGAGTGTTGGCACCAAAGCTGCTTTCATTGTCAAAGAAGAGGGTAGAAAGGAACTTGGCTGAACAAAACTGGCAGACGTGTTTACTAGAAAATTCAGAGGTAATTTCTAGAGGAAAGGAAACACATTTTCAAAGTCTTTTATAATTTATTTAAATGTGACTGGCTGGATTTAGTAATTAAAGAAGTGAAGAGCACTGAGGACTGATGGTGCCTAAAGCCACCTCCAGACTGTACCCTCTGTCTGGTTTGGCCACAGAAGCCTAAAGATCCAGAGGTTTCCCAGAGAAACATCTGAGGTTGCTGATCTGCATCTAGGTGCCCATACACACCCCTTCTAAAGCATGCTTGGTTCTCACTGGAATCTCTTTGCATTAGCAGAACACAACCAGAATCCAGAGGACATGAACTAACAAAAAAGAATCTACTGCATTAGAGATAGACCTACATCCACATAATTGCCAAAATACATGGCCCTGCTCTTGGACTATCTGCAGAGCTTTGAACTATGCGATCTGTTCTTTTATTTACTCATTTAATAATTGTTAGGAGAGCATTGAACTAGAAAAGCTGTTGCACTTGCAGCCATAACATGCTCTTTAAACCTGATTCTCACCCAGAGATTCTCTTCATTATCTGCCTTATAGATGTCGCCTAGTTGTTGGGAATACTGGGTGGAGGAAATGTAGAACTTTGTAACCTCCATGACTGCAAAGGAGTGCCACTGCATTTATGTGCTCAGTACCATGCTAAGAGGTTTCAAAAGAGATGAACCCTCCAGGATTTGCTACCCAGAGTTGGGAAACCGAGTCACATTCAAACAAGATGGATATATATAATCTCAAGAGTGTGAGATATTTACTATGAGATGATGACTGAAGACTCTGAGAATAGAGAGGCTGAAATGATTAACAGAATAGAGAGGGTAGGGTTGCCTCCTGGAGGAGGTGATGAAGTGGACAGAGAGGGTGGAGAAGGTCTCTTTGGTATGGCACAACCGAGTCAACCAGTGCAGGATTTTCTAGGTAGACTTTGGGTAGACCAATCTACTTGGAATTAGAGCTCCCAGTTGGGCTGGAGCTATGTATTTGAAATTTCAAAGAGTTACAGGCAAGGGAGCGTCAGAACAGTTTTCAGGCCAATGGTAGGTGATGTTGAAATGACAATCAGGGTGGACTAATAGATAAAGGAGAGACTGGTGTTGAGAGATGTGAAGAGGGCTCTGTAGAAATCCAGGCTGGGGATGATGAGGCTCTAGACCAGACCAACGGAAATGGAGAATCACAAACAAGTAGATGATTTTAACTGTGGGGTAAGTTATATCATTAACTGTTTCTCCTCTTCTTGGTGACTAAACTTTGGGACTTGCATTACAATGGACAACTAAAGTCAAAAAAGTAAGGAGCTTCTTAATATGACATTGGAAAACATTTTGAAAACTCAAAATATTCTCACACCATTTGTCTACTGACCAGAAAGGATGGGTAGTTGCTGGGTGATCTGTAGAATCAGAGATTATCAGAGCTGGACAGGACCATAAAGACCACTTGGTCAAACAAGTGGATAATTTAAGAATTTATGCTCTAACGTCCCCAGAAGCAGTACTCGTCTGCCTTCTCCTTGAATCTGTCTGATGAAGGCACTCACTAGTACTACAGGAAGTGCTTCCCCATTTTGGTGAAAAGAAAGGGTTGATATGTATTTTAACTGGGGAATATATTGCTCTTGTACAAAAGTCAGGTCCCGTGAAACCTGTGAAATAAGTGTTTTCATATTTTTTCCTTCCCAGCCGACCAGTTGGATATCTTTCCAGGGAATTGATGTCAAAAATGAAATCCAGTGAGTGGGAAGGTTGACCAGATTCAGAACAGTCTTGCCAAGTAGCCAAGGGAGGAGCAAAGTTATGTCAGTTAAAAAGGACAGACTATAGGAAATGTGTATAAGATGTACCATATATTTAGAACAGGAAAAGGCTTCAGTTAATAGCAGCTGATATTAATAAAACATAAAACAAAAGACATAATGATTATGAACAACCAGGAAAATCCTAAGGCAACTTTTCTTTTTTTTAGGTAACAGGAAAGCAAGGAAACCTATTTTATCTCATGAAGTAAATGGTCCAGTATTTGTTTAAAAAAAAAAAAAAATATATATATATATATATATATATATATATATATATATATATATGATCTAAAAATGTTGCCACTAAACCAATAAAATTACCACTGAACCAAAGAAAGAATAATGAAAAAATGGAATCATCCTACAATTTTTGAAATGTCTTAATTGACACAGAGAAAACAGGAGATGATCTCAAATGCACTGTTGCCTTAGGATGGAAAGCATCTTTGATAAAGCAAGCTGTATTGACATAGTTTGTTTCAGACAATGTAGAATATTTTCAACATTCATCTTAAAAATTTAGAATAAAAAAGATCGTCTTTATCAGGAACATGGACAAAGTTCCGTGAGATAAAAACAAACCAGCAAACAAACAGAAGCAGGTCATTTTTCTCTCTTTGGCACTGTGTAGGACCATATGTTTCCAGAGATGGGGATTTAAAAATAGCCTGTCACATAGCTCACACCATAGCCCTGAGACATAACAGGGGTGGGGAGGATAGCCTTATGCTTAATAATAGTGACACTTCACTTTTATACTTCTTTTCAGAGTAACCAAGTATACTTTTTAGTTGTTGTTCTCTTTTTAAAAAAATCTAATTTTCTTGATATCCTTGTAAATTGAGTAGGAGGTGGCACAGTTGGTCCCACTTTGCAGAGACAATGAGGGGGTCATCCAAAGTAAAGTTACTCCCTTGGGATTGCGGTGATTAGAGACTACCCTGTGCTGTGTGGGTCTGACAACTGGGCCTGTGAGAGCCTCGGGTTCAGGTTCAGAGGATGTTGCACAAACAAGAGAATGTTGCTTCTCATTGCCTCTGTTTTGAAACGCACCGTCTGTCATTGTAAGCATTTCATCATTTTCTAATTTTAAGGCAAATTGGTTACAAGCCATAGTGACCTATATTTGCTGACATTTGAAATCAAAATCTCACATGGGTAAATGCCTTACATTTACATTTACCTTACAGTCTTAATAATAATGTCATTTTTCACTTTTCCATAATGCCTTACACTTGAAAATGGTTTTAAATTCCCCATCACATCAGATCTGTGTAACAAGCTGTAATTTAGGCCGGCCAAAGTTTCGATGAAAGGGAACAGAGGCTCATGGGGTGAGAGAACCTTCCCACCTGCTAAATGCCACAGAAAATGACCAAAGCCCAGGCCTCCTCTCTGCATGTCTGGGGAACTTTCCTGCCAGTCACGCTGCCACCTAGGTCTAAGTAATGTGTTAGACTTGGATGCAGAGGGTATGTGCTCAGAAGCAACTCATCCACCTACTTTGTGCCTGATACTCTGTTTCTAATTGGCTATGTAATCCTGAAGGGGGTCTCTAGATGTGGCAGGAACCAGGCAGACTCAGTAATGAGCTCCCCTGTGGACAGAAGGAGATGCTTGGCACACTGATGGTTCTGGGTAGATAGTTTGGATGTGTGTGCAGCCCAGTGAAGTTGTGTGTTTGGCCAGCTTAACCTCCAATTGAACCCTAGATCCCTCTCCTCTACCATAACCGCTCTCTCCAATACTCAAAGCGCCCCTGCAGCTTTCCGCTTTACAGTACCTGGCAAAACCCCAGTCCTGGCCACATGTGATGGCTCTCACTCTTCCTTTGCTTACACCTAAGCAGCAGAATGTTAAGAACTTTGCAGACCATGCTTATCAGCTTACTTTGAATTTGTAATCACAAACCTCTAATAGACCCTACCAGGGGAGCCTATAACACTTCTAGAAAATTCTTATCTCAGTCTCTCAATCAGTTTGTTCACATCTTTGGCTCCCTCCTTAAATTTCCACCTGCTGTACTTTATTTCTTCCTCGGGATGCTGATATTTCTTTCTTAGTATCAAAGAAGAATTATTTCATCTCCCCACCACCAACTCCTTAATCCATGCACATCTGTTTAGGCACTTACACTGGCCCCTCTTACTACAGCGCAGGGCGTCTCAGGCTCCTAAGGTCAGCCCTTCTGTTTGTCTTCTGGATCCTATCTACTTTTCTGGATCTCTCTTCTGCAACAACAGTTTCTCTTGTTCTGTTCTGTTGTATCTGTCCCGTTAGCATTCAAAAATGCCTTGATAACAACCATTAAAAAAATAGCAACTTTTCCTCAATCTGACATGTCACCGGAGCTACCACCCTGTCTTTTTTTTTTTTTTTTTTTTTTTTTTGATGCCTTCACAGAAAGCTTTTAAAAATAAGATCCTGGGAGGCTGAGGCAGGAGGATTGCGAGTTCAAAGCCAGCCTTTGCAAAAGCAAGGTGCTTAGCAACTCAGTGAGACCCTGTCTCTAAGTAAAATACAAAATAGGACTGGGGATGTGGCTCAGTGGTTGAGTATCCCTGAGTTCAATCCCCAGTACAAAAATAAATTAAAACCTACAATTCCTGTTCTTTCTTCTTCAGTTCCCATTCTCACTCCAATTCTCACTCCACTTAAACAGTCAGAATGTACTCGACTGACCAGATGACTCAACATAATTTAATGTGGTTGATTTTTCATACTTCTTTAAACACTTTCTTCTCCAGGCTTCTGTGATTCCATGCTTAACCTGGTTTGCTCTTAATTTTTGGTCTTCTGTTCAGCTCTTCTTCCTCCACCTTGACTTTTGGAATGCTCCTCGGGTCTCCTCTCCAGTCTGTACTCTACCAGATGAACCCACTGAGTCCTGTGGTTTTAAAGTGCTGTCCATCCATCTACAGATAACTCCAAATCTCTATCTTTAGCTGATATCCCCCTAGAGTGCCAGACTTGATAACTCTACTTGTAATTGTAAAAGGCATTTCAAACAAACCATGACCCAGTCCAACTATTGACATACTCCTTCCTCAATTTCAGTTCCTCCTCCCTGAGTTTTCTCTATCACAGTACGTGGTATCCAGCCTCCTAACTGTTTGTGTAAGGCAAATAACTAAGAGTTGTTCTAATTTTCTTGATTTCCCTCAAATCTTGTGTTTAATCATTTTTCAAGACAAATTGACTTTGTGTCTTAAATACCTGTCAATTTAGACTTATGGACCATCTCCAATGGTCACTATCTTATCCCAATCTACAGCATCATGTTCTTCCTGTCTCCACTTTTGCTATCCCCACCCCCATAGTCAGCTTTTCACAGAGCAGCCAGACTGATTTTTATAAACCCAGAAATTGTGTCACTTCTGTACTGGATCCTCTAACCATGAAGTATTAAAGCCCTGTATGATCTAGCCCTGATGACCCATCCAGCATCATCTCCCTCTACTCTGCCTCATCCACAGTGTTCATCGCCCTTTCTCTGTCTCACACTTGTCAGATAATTTGCAACCTGAGGATCTTTTTCTTCTGTTTGAATGGTTTTCCAGCTCCATAGTGGCTGCTTCCTCTTGTCATTCAGGCCTCATTACAAACATTATTCCCTTAGAGCAAGTTCACTTGATCAATTTTAGTAGTATCCCTTGCTATAAGTAAGTTTCCCACTCTCTCACCAGAGAAGTGGTTTCAGTAAGTTGAATTTTAGTGATAATACCCTTAACTTTCATAGTAAGTCAATACAAAAATCGTTGAAATCGTTGCTACATTTCTGAAGACATTCTTTGCTGTGTCACTGAATGACCTTCTCTATCAAGCCCTATATGGGGAATTCTTTTAGGTTTAAGTGCCAGGAAAGCTTTGCTTCCCTTGAGGAATTGATAATGACACACTGATTTTTATTTTTATCTTTGGCTTTGCCAACATGAAGCTCAGAGCCAATTTTTTTTACTGATTTATTGTAAACGTGTAAGATCGTATGGCCTAATTGTCTGTCTAGACAGCATGGCCTGATAGGACTTTCTACAAGCATGATGATGTCCTGTATTTGCAATGTTCAATAAGTAACCACTAGTCACATGTGGCCACTAAGAACTTGAAATGTGGCTGAATTTTAATTCCATAATCCATTTAATTTAATTTAAATTTAAGTAGACTCCCACCTGGAGGCTACCACATTGGTCAGCATAAGCCTGTATATCCTATGGTCTATTTTTAAAATATTGGATTGGTGTTCATTTTTATGTACTCTTCACTATTCTTTATTGCATTTTCTATAAGTTGCTTCAATCCTTTGTGGCTGGAGGGAGAAAAAAAGAAAAGGAAGAAAGCACGTTTAAATGAGTGATTAACTGCAGGTGCATCAGCATGCTTATGGTTTGGGTATTCAGTGTAGGTTAA